CACCTGGCATTCGTTTACAACGTATTTTTCTTCTTTCAATAGTCAATCCAGCATCAGCTGCATTTTCACCTGGCATTCGTTTACAACGTATTTTTCTTCTTTCAATAGTCAATCCAGCATCAGCTGCATTTTCACCTGGCATTCGTTTACAACGTATTTTTCTTCTTTCAATGGTCAATCCCTATATTTCAGATTGATTCTTGCCCACTTTAAGTGCTTCTTGACAGGACTTTTAACGTGATTCTATTAATTTCTCTTTTCAAAGAATCAAGATCAGCAGCTGCTTCTTAAAATTCATTTTTGGGTCCTGAAGACGTTTCTGTACTCGATTGATAGATGATAAAAAATTCTCAAAAATGCCCTCTTGCTACGCTACTGACAGAGGTCGTTCATTGTGTGGGTTTGTGCTTAACAACAAAAACAAACAAACACATCTTCGCATAGTCGTCCCTATTTTTGGATTGGTTATAAAGAGAAAAGGCAAGTAGTCAACAGCACCCACCGCCAACTCTAGGGCTAGCTACTCTTATGTCACTAAATAGTAAGATTTGATTCACTTTTATAGTGCATTGACGGCACAAAAGGTCGGAGCGCATTTTTGTGGCAACGAGCCAAAAACCATCAGATTCAGAGTTCGGGCACGCTAACCAGTAAGCCATACCCGGCCCAGTAGCATTTATCATATTTTATCTTATCTTGTAGTTTTCTCCTAAATTTATCAATAATATCCATGGTGTCACAAACGTAGATTTGGGTGATATTCTCGGAAACTGCCGTTTTCAATTGGTCATGGTGCGAATTATATGTTTAATTCTATGCACTTGTAGTATGAGTTTATTCAGTGTTTTCTGTGTGTTTATTATTGTTATTCCCTACAAGCATGCGAATTTAAATCAAGTTTCGTGTCTATATTACACTTCCGAAATGTATACTCTACTTTTGAATAAACAGTGCCAGTAATTAAACTCCGTAGAGCAGTAACCTCGTGCAATCACGAGACTAACCCTTGATCTCCAAGTATCTTGTGACGTCAGCCATTTTTCACAACTAAGCTACATAATTAATCTATAATTCCGTATGTATTACGCCATTTTTTATTGTTTTTAATAATTATTTCTAGCGTTAAATATGATTGAAGTGATGTACTTCAACACATAAGTTTATGGATAAATATATATATATATATATACAGTAGTAAAGTTATATTGATCCTTTAGTCGTGTAAAGAAATAATCAAAAATAGATAATTAAGTTAAAACAAAAATAAATGAAAACCTTTTTGTGATGTTTTTGGCATACATTTTATAACCTAGTGGTCAGCGTGCTGAAGTATGTAGCTGAGGGTCCATGGTTTGCGTCCCCTTTCCTTTACACTCGGTGAGTTATAATTAAAAATGACGGTCATATCCCACTATGCGTTTAAAGTAGCCCAAGAGTTGGTAGTGGCTGCTGTTCACTAGTTGCCTAATCTTCAGTGTATTAGTTCAAGATTAGGGATGACTAACTTACAGTACCGGATTAACGCATAGGCCACCTAGACCCGGACCTAGGGCCCTACTAAACCTTAATCCGGCTCTGCTAGCGCAGGTTTGTTTTGTGTAGCTTTGCGTGAATTTCCGAATCAAACAAATAAGACATGGTATATATGAAGTACGTCTACCGAAACGTTGCAAAGAATGTTTTCATTTAGACGTATGTGTTAACTTATTTATTATATTATGCTATGATATGTTACCCTTTATTTATTTTTTCAAAATCATTGTCATGGTTACCGGGGAGGATGGTGATGGTTATACTAAGTGGGAATGCTTTTGTTTGTTTGATTGGTTTTTTGTGCAAAAAAAATCAATAGTACAAGTTTGATATCTTGAAGACTTTCGGTTGGTTTGTGGAATGTGTTAACTTTACTTAAAATTTGACACTCTTGTACATACATGTGTTTTTTTATGAGTATTGAAAAGGAAACTAGCTCAGGGCAAGATGATGGAAGCTCTTTCACGACTGAAATGTCAGAAACTTCAAATTTTTACATTTTTGGACATTGATTTTATACACTTAAATGTCGTTAATGGATTTGTTAACAAGCAGACAACGCCAACCGTGTTTAGTTTGACACAACAAGGTAACGGTTTCGTCTAGCCCCTCTTTCCAAAATATGCACCGGATCTATTGTTTTTAACAGAACTTGACACATATATATTGTGTAAGTTTCTTCTATAAATATGAATTTGCAAAACACTAAACATTTTTTGGATCTCAATAGATCCATTTAGAGCAATATTCCTAAGGCTTGCATGCCCATTTTTAGGTCGTAATTGTTTTGGACATTTGTGCTTGATCATAAAAGCCGTAGATAAGTACTTGCAAAAACAAAGAGAAAAAAACATACTTTTATTTAAACTTTTTCTGGTATGGTTGTGTAAACATGTACCTTAAACTAATCGTTATTGCAAACTTAGGTTTCTTTGCGGAGAAATAACATTTGTATCTTAAGATATTTACTTTGACTATATGTATAAATACTGTCAATAAAGATAAAAGATGACCAACTGTTGTTTCTCAGCAGAAAGGATATGATTGACAAGGTGAGCACTCTGATATGCACCTTCATTCGTTGTGGTCTTTGTATGCTTAATACAGTGCTAAACTTGTACATGCCATCTGGTGTAAATATCAGTTTGAGAATATAGAATTGAACGTAAATTATAACTGTTACATTGCTTTTATTGAACAGCGAAAAAGAATTCATAATAATTATGGGAGAAATAATGGTTTACATTTTGCCTATGATGTTGGGACGAACCTTTGACATGAACACGAATCGTGTTGGAATTGATATTTTCCCGGAAAATGTATTGAATAGATCTTTGGTAAGGCTTAGGTTCTAATATATATACGTTTATTGATAAAGAAGAGGGAAATCTATTTTGATTGTGATTTCACTCATATAATATATAATTACTGTAAATAATATCTTGTATACAGGATCTAGCTCTACTGTAGGCAGTTTTATTACGTGCTACAAAGAACTTCTTATATATAAGTTATTTTCCTGTACACCATTTTATAACCAGATAATCTAAGTGATTTCTTATTTATGAGAATTTCATGTGGTACCTTGTAAATGATTTATTCTTTTGAATCCATTTCTGATGTGGAGATTTTACTTTTAGTGCGCGCTTGTTTATTAGGATGTTCTGTAAGCCACCGATATTTAGTACTTGATTCCTCTGTACATTATTTCATAATGAATATTGTAAATACTGTCTTACACATCAAAGTAATCTACAAACATTAACTGATTTTGGTATTGTCAATCTGAACAGCACCTTTACGATATATATATATATATGTGTGTGTGTGTGTGTGTGTTAAACAGCTGGGTCAAATGCTCCAGTTTAGAGCTGATGACCAGAGGGAAGACAGCCATTAAGCACCACCCGCCGCTTACATGACTACTCTCGATAGAATAGCGGGAGTGACATTAATGGTTATAAAGTTCCATAATGTGTAGTTTGAGCTTAAGAGCGGCCTTGACCCTTGAACATTCCGATATGCATACTGATACCATAAAACTCACGTGCAGAATGCTTATTTACGTTGAAGTACTGTAAACAGTCTCTTGTACACGACTTAATTTCACTGTTAACTAGTTTGGTTAAATAAGTGCTATAAATAACCTCTTGCTTTACAGAATAATTCTGCTGTACGCTCGTGACGTGTTAGAAACGATTACAGTTCAATCCTACTAACCGTCATGTCAATATGTTCTTTCCCTTAGAGCTTATTTCTACTTACAGGATGATAAAGTGGTGTAGAACTTTTTTCTTCACAATTAAGTTTTATCGTACGTCAGTTTATGACGAGATGCTATAAAAAGACTCCATAGTTTATGACGAGATGCTATAAATAGACTCCACAGTTTATGACGAGATGCTATAAATAGACTCCTGTATAAATTTTAATTCTTCTGTTTGTTAGCAATTCATTATGAGGTGTTGAAAATAATTTTATTTTTCTGTGCTATATAGTTCTGGTGAAGATTATTTTGTATCCCTAGATCAGTTTTGACGATGACAGTATTAATCAGTTCACAGAAATAATGACACTCGCCAACATGTATTGTCAATTATAAGACCAACTTTACTTTACAAACAGGACTCTAAAGACACTATGTTATACTTAGTTTTCGCCATTAGCCCGCTAGTGGCAACAAATCTCGCTAGGATAATTACTTCCTCAAGATTACTTTCTACATAAAATCTAGTAAACATTTTTTAAACATACATAAAAGCTAACGGCTAAAATCTAGTTAAACTTCGTGTAAGTAATATCTAACCGCTAAAATGTAGTTAAACTTCGTGTAAGTAATATCTAACGGCTAAAATGTAGTTAAATTTCGTGTAAGTAATATCTAACGGCTAAAATTTAGTATTTTTTTTTAATTTACAAAACACTTAACGGCTAAGATTTAGTTAATCTTTACATACGTAACACGTTACAGCTAAAGTTACTCTTTTTATCTAGGTAACCCTTAACGGCTAAAATCTGTTTAACCTTTTCTAATGTACGTAACCTAACGTCTAAAACCTAGTTCAAATGTTTGGGCATGTACCATCTTAGTGGTAAAATCTGATTAACCTTTTATACACGGCCCAGCATGACCAGGTGGTTAGGGAGCTCGACTCGCAATCTGTTTCACGGGTAAAACACTTTGCTAACATATAATTATACTGCATTCTAACTTGTAAGAAGGATGAACAACTTAATATTTTTCATACGTTAGTTATTTTATTATGGGAAGGACTGAGCAGAATTTCATTAAAAAGGTAAACATTTTAATATTTCATTTACTGTTTACTGTGAAAACTGTAAAACAAAACATAGTATGCAGAAAAATATTAAATATCAATTTTTTTAACTTTAATTTGAATTGCTTAATGTCCAGGCATGCCCGATTTCATCTATTAATATACGGTTAATAACATTCAGATTAAAGAATATTAAAATATAAAGTTCCTGATGACTATAAGAAACTACCAGAAAAACAATAAAAAAGAAGAGTAGGCTAACATGACACTACTTATGTCGAGCTGAATGATAGAGATTATTAGATTCATTTAACGAAACGAAATATCTCGTTTCGGCCTGATTGCAAATATGAAGTGCTGTCCAAAACAGGGGTTTTCCTAGTGTGCAGCTGATCACAAATTGTGCGCTTGTAAAAATATTTGTGCAGTTGAAAGTCCACCTACATAAGTAAGTTCAAGTGGATAAATATTAAATAAACATATTTAACATCATAAAATTACATTCCAGAGTTGATAAATAAATGTATTTACTGGAATATTATTCATGTTTTGGATCATTTGTTATTAGGCCTGTATATATGAAGTGCAATAAGGCGTCATGTATTAAAAATGATGAAGTTAAAATATAATTGTGCAGTTGAAAAAATCCTTAGGAAAAACTTTGATCCCAAATCCTTCAACTAGGTTCAAGCTTTAGCACCGAATGAAATGTTAATAATTTAGTTTTCAGGTGTAAACTTACTTATGTAATAAAGCATTGTTTTGTCACTACTATTACATTCTTAATTATATGTCATAACCACCTGAAATGGATTAATGAAAATTTTCGTACTATTTTCACAGCTATAATATATATATGTTTTAATAACTAAAAGATAAGACCACGTTGTGAACTAACAGAGACAATAAAAAACGGAACTAACAACACTCAGAAACAAGCACAAATATCAATTTAGTTATTTCTACGAAAGGGGGCCGAAGGCCACCTGGAGGGCTCACTTGTTTTAACGACTCACACCACAGTAGTGTGTTGTCTGTCAGTCAGTCAGTAAACAATAAAAATTGAAATGACATAAGGGACGCTTAACGTTGCAATCTGTACTGGCATGACGTCAATAAAGCGGGCGCGTGCCATGAATCGCGACAAGAATTATGCGCTCTGTAGGCTATAACACAGTATGGCATACGAACTTCAAAAGCGAGAAATAAAACTATTTGTTACTCTTAAGTTTGGTTTTATTTACTCTTGTAATATAACCTGAGGAAGTACATCTAGTATATATATATATATATATATATTGAATTTATGCAGCTTGATATGAAATCAGTTAAATCATTTATTCATATTTTAGTAACTCAAACTATCATCTTAACAATGATAGTAATCCCGAAAAAGTGAAAGTAGGATAATGCTTATGTAGCGCTATCAAACACACTATATTCCTGCAACTTTCATTTTGTGTCTTTAACTTACGTCAATCTTATTATTAATCTGCTTTCAATTACCGTCGTGAACCTCGATATATTAATTATTTTCACGAGTATAGGAAATCCAAAACATGTTTGTGGAGGCTAGACACACGATGGTGGATGAAGTTAAGGAAGTTAGAAATTTCCTAGACGTTGGCGGCTCCTTTTCTCTAAACGTCAAATCCGGGTTGTTTAAAGCTGGAGCCCACAGTGCGTACCTGAGCGATGTTGAAAGTCGAGAGAACATTATCGAAATGCTTTACTACGTTAAGTTTGAAACTGTAAGTTGTTCGTTTTAATCCTAAAAGTTACTAGCAGTGATTCATGTTAAGGGTATTACGAAATATATTTACATGTTTATTGCACAATATTCTTTATTACAACTTTCCAAAACGCATATTTGTTAGCTATATATCTAAACCAGTGCTTCTCAACTGGGTGAATGGTTCACCCAGAGGTTAATGAGATCAGTATCAGGGTGAACGAGAATGATGGTGTTAATGGCAGGGTGAATGAGTATTATCAATTATACAACAAATTCAAGAGCAATAAAAGTCATTAGTTATTATTATATATTATAGTTGTAGTTTGATACATAGAATTATTTTTATTCATTCTAGTTGTAGTCTGATGTCATAATAAAGAATTTTGCATTTAAATTTAGTGCCTATTTGTCTTTTATTTCGACCTGGGGTGAGTGAGGTGTTGTGAAAAACTTATAGGGGTGAATGATATTGGAAAAGGTTGAGATTGTTTGTTTGTTTTGAATTTCGCGCAAAGCTACACGAGGGCTATCTGTGCTAGCCGTCCCTAATTTAGCAGTGAAAAACTTGAGGGAAGGCAGCTAGTCATCACCAACCACCGCCAACTCTTGGGCTACTTTTTTCCTAAGAATAGTTGGATATACCGTCACATTATAACGCCCTCACGACTGAAAGGGCGAGCATGTTCGGTGGGACAGAATTCGAACCCGCGACCCACAGATTGAGGGTCGAGTGCCCTAACCACCTGGCCGTGTCAGACCCCAATCCAATGAACGGGTGCTCCAGTTAGTGCTAAATATAAATACAAAACTGTTTATAGCTGAAAAAGTCAAAAGTATGATAAGTTTTTGTTTCACAGAGCCTTAATTATGATCACTATGACCACAATAGGCTAAGAAAAGACAAAGTAAAATAAGAAATGCCCCCAAGTGGCATAGTCGTATGTCTGCGGACTTACAACGCTAGAAACCGGGTTTTGATACCCGTGGTGGGCAGAGCACAGATAGCCCATTGTGTAGCTTTGTGCTTAACTTCAAACAAACAAAATAAGAAATAAGATTTAAAGTATAGTGTATCTTTCTTATTTAAGGTTTGTCTTAACATCAATGTCATTTAATGTGACGGATACAGGAGCTGTTGAAAAATTATTACATCTGATTTTTCTGATATATTTTATAATTTTATCTCCCACCGTAAATCTATTTACTCTTATTGATTAAAATTTTTGTTGTTGTTTTTTTGTGTTGTACCTCCTTAGGCTGTATTGTTTTTTTTTTATTTAGTTTTCATTTTTTATTGAAGAATTACCTAGGTTTGTTTACAGATTGACAAATTATTAGTACTGTTACGTCTCCGTTTGTTAAATTGATTTTCCGTAACTTCGTTCCGACGAAGCTTCAGCGACACAAGTCCTTACTTAATAAAACTGGTTTATTCTTTCCGAATATAACTTTACGATACACTTAATTTCAACAATCGCGCTAAAACAAACGCTATAACAACAATACGTCTCTCTCTGACTGCAGATCAATTACTCACTGTCTACACACACATTATTGTCCCAGGCTACCCTATATCTAGTAAATACTAGAGCATTCGCCAAGGTACAGGATAGTTCTAGAAAATAGGTGGCGCCACTCCATTCACGTGACCTCGATGACGCAACACTGCCCCT